CAATAAAATTTTTTATTCAAAATTCAGATTTATATACAATGTGAAACAAAAAAGATTTTCTAGTATTGTGGATCAGATTGTTATGCAATTTGCAGTTAAGTTTTCATTTGCGCACCAAACTTATTTTGTGTGAATCATTTTGCTTCAACACCGTAAAACACATTCAACACCGTAACTCAACTTCAACACCGTAACGAATGCCTAAATTTTTCCATAAGCTGCCCGATGCCCCTTTTCGCATATATTTTACTTATATTATCATTGCCCTGCACTTATCCTCCATGGTAAAGTTACTTTAATGGTGGTGGGAAAACGTCAAACGATCATATTGGGTTTAGAACATGGCAAAATATACATAATGTAGAGATGACGCGTTGTAATAAGTCATAATGCTAAATTTTAAACAAATGGAATAACAGATTTATACTTTAAAAGATTTGAAACAAGAAGTTCTACATTCTAAACTACTTTCGGCATGTTTCATAAACTTATGTCTGCTTTTTTTTTTCGTTTTTAGTTTCGTTACGGTGTGACAGTTCTTGAACAAACAAGTCATATTTAAACATTAAAATATCCATTAAAAAATGTGCACAAGCTATAATCAATAAAATGAAACATTTTGCGTCCAAATAAAATGATTTATTTCATAGTGCAAAGAACTTGATTTGTATTTTTCTGCAACAAACAAATTGCACATTAATGGGAGAATGACCCATAAAATAAAAACCGGAATGAAAGTTTGATCTAATTTTAATTTGATTAATTGGTGTTTCTAGAGAATTATCATGTATTAATCATATAATTATGTTCTTATTGCATATAATTATGAGTCTTAACCAATCATAAATGTCCATGTATGTACAGTCTGGATACACAAGAAAGGAATTTTTGACCTTTCTTTATCAGTCACTCATTGAAATTCTGCTGGTAATTCTCTTCTAATTTAGCTAATTATGAACTAATTATGGACATGTGAGACAAACTGGTATTTTTCCAAGTCATTAGAAAACTCTTACATAAATCAAAATAAGAGAACCCATCTTTAAGGCTCTCGATTTGATATTTAGTGTTGTAGTAAGTGATTATTAGTGTAATTAAGATTACACCAAACTTTCGTTTCGTTTTTTGTATTAGCTTTTATTTTTAATATAGCCACAGTTAGGATCCAACGATAGCCCTCTTGGGCGGTCATTAAATTAACATTTTGACAAACTCGATGACCTTTAACCAATCAAATTTCTACAGCGCTGTCATTTTGTGACGCAGTGTTTATCTTGTTAGATAAAAAATTACTTACGAATGTTCAAGAGGGCTGTCGTTGGACCTTAACTGAATAGGCTATTTTAAAGATATATAATAAAAAACGGAATGAAAGTTTGATCTAATTTTAATTAGACTGGTGATTTTTATTACTACCAGACTATTTTTTGTCAAAAATTCAAATATTGATGTAGGATAAGGCCATAACCTAGAATACCCTGAGATTAAAAACTAGGAAATCTTTATCTGCCATTTCCTATAGGCCATCAGTGATATAATTGGCTGTCTCATTATGATGGACTGTGTATAGGTTACCAAGTTGCCAAGTAAAAAACACAGTCAATGGCTATATTAACTATCCTAGCTCTGTTGCTAGGTGTTTTATAGAATAAAACGTTTTTTATTCCAAGAAAATCTGAAACCTGAAATACATAACTATTGCAGAATATAACGGACTACCCTCTCTATTACGAAACAAGTAGGAAAAATAATTTACAAACCTTTCGTTCTGAAGCGGACCACGACTCAGTAAATCACTTCTTAGTTCCTTCGCTCGTATTTACATTAGTATGATGAAGCACATTTGACCAGTCATTCATTGCGATCACAATATAACACGTACACTATCTATCATGGACTATATAATGATTATGGTATGCCTAGATTAAACTTTTTGATCCAGAAACGTGATAGATAAGATCGACGATCGAACCAACCTACACACATTACAAAATCGAGAGAAATTCACATGGTGCGAAGTATTTCATTTATTGCTATTAATACTAGCATGAAATTTGTAGTCAACTCGCCAGCTTATTATTTTTTTCACTGGAAACGACTCGATCAATGAAGCCGAGTCTTGCTGTAATCCGAATCATTCCGTTTCTTGTTGATATAATGAGAAATAAGCAAATTGAGGGCAGTAATGTTGCCTAGTTCATAAATTTAACATCAAGGGAAAAATCTTTTTTTTTTGTGCTATCATTAGTCAATGCTCTTAAGTCTTTCAAATGTTTCTACTTCTAGATCGTGTCCAAGTTTAAGTACGTCTAAGCGATGGTTCACATTTCATAATATATATTGCATCAAAGAAAACTGATAGCCTATTAGGAAATTTGATGAATGAATCAATAGGCCTATCTCTCTGTTTGTTTCTTTACATTTTAAGACTTTTGAAATTGACATTTCTGAGTTAGGCCTAAAGTTCCTTCAAGGGAGAGAGAGGTAAATCTTTTGACAATGTCAAGCTAAGACGAACTCCGTGTTATATCTTGACTCCAATCTAGTCACCTTATTTGTATCATGGAATGCAACGAGTTGATTGTACACCGATAAGTACAGCCAATCAGAGGTCTCGACAGAAAGACTCTTAATATTATGGCCCAGTGTTCACAGGCTATGGCCTGCCCATAGCAGTTTAATGTTTAATTAATTGTATTCTTAGACAAAGGTGATGCTTCTGTAAGTCAAAATATTCTTATTTCAACTTGATCTTTATTAAAACGTATATATAATTAATATGCATCTGTGCGGATTTTACAAAAAATCGATCGACTAATGTAGTTTAACACTGATTACCAGCGACAAAATGTCAAGTCGACTGGTGCAAAGTGTCGACAGCGACGGAGGTGTAAAGGCAATGACGCAGTCTGTGGAACTTCCGCCAGTTAATTTTAAAGTCAATAGAAGATTGATATATTTATTTAGAACCGAATAGAATATCTAAATCTGTCCAAGCGCATAATGTCTTGATTAATCTCTGAAAACATCAATTGTTTAGGGTGTAGGTGTGTAGGCCTAATTGTCCATTTTATACGCCCACGTGGAAATGTGGACGTATATATTGCCGTTGCCCCTTGTCCGTTCGATCACATTTTTTGTAAACAAGATAAGGGCTACAGTTTTTATCCGATCTTATTGGAATTATATTGATGAGATCTCGATCAAGTTCGAATTTGGCTACAGATTTTATCAGATCTTAATGAAATTTGGTGTGCATGTATAATTATATTGTAAAGATCAAAGATGAAATTCTAATTTGGCTCGTTTTGATGAATGGTTTTGGAGTTAATTTAGCCTGTAAACATACTTTTATCGGATCTTGATGGAACTTGGTATGCATCTATAATGAGATCTCAGTCAAGTTTGAATTTTTCTATGAAGATGAGACCTTTCCCCTGTGAATTTGATGGTTACTTTAAAAATTTAAGACAAGAGAGGAGTGTGATAATTCAATGTTTCTGGGTTAAGGCTATTGTTTTACAATTGTGAAGATCTTCAATATGAGAAATTTCGTAGGCCCTATTATATTATTATGAATATTTTTAGTATATTTTTGGTCATTTAAGACTTAGTTATTATTTCTGACATCTGCCAGTGAGCGTATGTTACATTGCCTGGCAAGCTATCTTTTTGTGTTCTAGAAGCTTGTTTTGATAAACATAAGGCTTTTCATAATAAAAACTAGGTTGCTATGAGCTTAGCATGGTAAACATACTTGTTGAAGCAAGAATACTCTAGAAGGCTTGTTTAAACGAGACCTTTTTTTAAATCCTCCATTGCATCTCTTAAAAGACATTGCAAAATATAGTCTATTGTGAAGATACGATATAGTTCAAGGTGGTACATAAAATGTACTTTATAACAAATCTGTACTATATAAAAGCAATTGTGAAATTCACAAGTCACATTGACATTTTGTTTTAGAAAAAATAAACTTAAAGTAAACAGGTTGAATGTAAATTGGTTCTTAATTTTAACTTCACTGGAATGTATCAGCATAAAAAGTTTTTGGATTACTGTTCGCAAATGATTTATATCATAAGCCCGTGTCGCTAATTCCCAGACCCTCGCATGGCTTTTCGGAACGAAAATCCAACTCTAGGTTCGTCTACAATCAATTCACTGCATAAGATCGGGCGGATAGACATGGGGGTGTAAATGACAAAAGAATAATCATAGACCATATTATATCCACAGTAAAATACACATTAAAATAATTGATTGGAAATTCTTATATTCAACAATGTATGTATGTATGTATTATACAGTAACAAATATAAAGTCACAATATATCACTACAGGCTCACCAGAAACGTTAGGTTGATATGAGGTATCAGCTAATATGTACAATTATTATTATTTTTTTAAGAAATGCAAAATGAATTTTGTAACATTGGCCAACAATGATGTAAATTCATAACAAAAACCATGAGTAATATAAACATAGGAGGTAAAATTGAAAAGGTGATAACTTGTTGTCATCAGATTTGAGAAATGCGTGGGCTCCGATGGACTTGTAATTCAGAGCGTTTCATCTGCCGTCCATTACAGCAAAATGTCCATAGAAATTAAACGTCTACTCGGACTAACATGAAAAGCTAAAGCAGATTTCGATCCTACGGTCCGACTGGACCCCATTGTTCCCCCAAAGTAGAACACGAACAACTGTTAGGAAATGCCATTTCTTATCACCGGTGCTCAGGTCGCCTAAATCTAACCAGTAATCCAGATACTATCAATCGAAAGGTCGATCACAATGAAGAGCCTTCACTACTAGTAGAAATGTAAGTCACAAGAGGAAGAGATTTTAGAATCTTCTTGACCTCCAAACGTTATGAATGGATTCTAGAATATCTTCTTTTGTTGCTATAAGGATAAAAAATTCCAGAGAAGTTTAAAATAGAAAATTCATTTCAGGAATTGTGCGTTATGTTACTTTCGGCAGCGACTGCTTTTATTTATGGTTTCTCTATTTTAATACCCATGTGTTTTTGGACGTCTTGCAAATTAGACATTAAACCCATGATCTGTTTGCCCATCGTTTCCATCATGGCATTGATGTTATCTATCTTTGTCTCCAATGACATATCAGCCAACTCTTTCCTCCTAGCTGCCTCCTCATCCAGAAGATTATCCTTTCGAAGCATTTGTTTACCCTTTTCCCAAAGCATGGCTCTGGCGTCTGGATATTCCTTTAAGGCATCCCAAAGATCATCTTTTGACAAACAAAATAAATCGGAGTAACCAACACTTCGGACGCTAGCTGTTCGTCTATTTCCAGTCTTGTTTCCGGCAATGTTTAAGATACTAATTTCTCCGAAGACAGCACCATCCTGCAACGTCACGAAAACGATTTTTCCGTCTGGTGATACTACTTCCAACTTGCCTCTTTTGATGATGTACATCTCTTTTCCGATATCACCCTTCTTACATATGTAATCGCCTGGACTAAACACCTGTAGCCGTAGCTTAAGAACTAATTCTTGAAGCAACCCCGGTTCACAATCCTTGAAAATTGCAACTCTTTTTAGTGTTTCGAGATGTACTTGAATAGCAATTTCTGTTTTCAATTTATCTGGGAGTATATTCAAAGCTGTCTTGTCATCCACTGACTGCTTGTTGTTCCACGTATAAGCGAACCATTGGATAACTCGATCTTGCAGAAGCGGACTGACCTTACGGATATCCATATATCTTTTGACGGAATCGACATTCTGTTGAAACTCTTGTCTGGATGCATTCATTTGGTTGATCATGGCACCGACATTACCAAAAATAGTAGCAAAAATCAAGACACCACAAAGGGTGACAATAATACAATAAAGAGTGGCAGGGAGTGTGGAGGGTGGGTCCACGTCTCCTATAGCCGTTAACGTCAACATGGACCAGTAAAAGCAATAAGCGTACGTCATTGCAAGGTTGTCATAACCCGGTTGTGAAGGGTCGTAACCCCAATCATCACTACCAAACCCTAGAAATCTACTCATGGAAAAATATATGCAGGCATTCAAATGTATCATCAAACAAATATTGATGATCAAAAAGATCATTCTGAACATGTTAGGGAAGCTGGTACGTGTTTCCGAGTCGTTATAGAATTCATTTATGCGCCATATACGAAGCAGTCTGTTCAATCGCAATAAAGTATTCACTCCAACCAGTAGATACACCAAATCAAAAGGTAGAATACTCATTACATCGAGTGGAAAACGATAAGATTTCAGATACATCTTCACTAAACGCATTTTCGTTGTAACCAATATGCCTTGTTCTAAAAATCCTGAAAATTAACAAAAGGAATGGTTAGTGTGTGATTGTTTTGGCATCAGATGCCATCCAATCCTTCTCAACACAAATTTTGTTTATGGCTAGATAGAACAATGCTTGTCACAAAAACAAATACAGTTATCAGAATGCACTATTCGATAAGGACACAATAAAATCGCCATCAAATATGTGTACAGTATTATAAGTATATGTTTGCGCCTCAGCTGATATCTTATTGATCACACGGTGCCTTGGTAAAGGCAAGATAAAGTGTCATCTACGTGACTTAAAGCAGAACTATGCAAGGACCTTGGCGGTTAGAAGAATTATAACTTCGATTGATAAAACAAATATATGGTGGTATACGACTATCTTTATGAACTTTATTCCAATAGTGTGGGTCAAGGCTTACCTAATCTATAAATGTAAGAGGCATGTCAAGGCTTACCTAATCTACGTCTAAGAAGCATGTCAGGGCTTAGCTAATCTAAGCTACATCTAAGAAGCATGCCAAGGCTTACCTAACCTACATCTAAGAAGCATGCCAAAGTTTACATAATCTACATCTAAGAAGCATGCCAAAGTTTACCTAATCTACATTTAAGAAGCATGCCAAAGTTTACCTAATCTACGTCTAAGAAGCATATCAAGGCTTACCTTATATGCGTCTAAGAAGCATGTCAGGGCTTACCTAATCTACATATAAGAAGCATGTCAAGGCTTACCTAATCTACATCTAAGAAGCATGTCTAAAATGGTAATGAAATCGGATAAATAATCAAAACAAAACCAAGTCATTCGCCAATCCGGGTTGTTAAAATCTGTGAATACGGCCCTTAAAAACACGACCACCAAGTTATAGAAAGTTGCAAGAGAAGCCACCAAAGACCAATAAAACCATGACGGGTCAGCGGGATCTATAACATAATCTTTCCAGTATCTGCAATGAATTAAGACATGACAATCACTCGCATGAAACAATTCAGCTGAGCTTGAAAATTGTGATCAAAGTTGTCGTGACAAGTTCATATTAGGAACTTAAATAGGTTTTATTGGCTATCCTTGGGAATTACTCCAATGTCCGACGACTGTGCTTTCCGTAGAACTTGGCCACACCATCATGTCAAAAAACGTTAATATACAAGCCATGACTTCCTGGACGGGAAACAAGTGGTGGGATAATCGGAATGGTGCAAATAGAAGCTACATGTCTTTAATGTGTACAGGTGGTATTATTTGAATTTGAAATAATTGTGTATGGTGATTGCATAATCCAACTTGCATGACACCTGTAGAAAGGACTTTGATATTTGAGTTTATATCAAACTCATCATTACGCAAATATAATTAATTCAGGTTTCTGATGGAATCGCCAAGTGTCCAGATCGCAGCATAATCGATACAACACAAAAAAAAACGAATAGACGTGGCAGGAATAGCTTCTTTCTATTTTCTGCTGTTTCGACGATCCCGCACAGTACAAAAAATTAAAACAGCGATCATCTGATGATACTTACGCCCATGAACACCATGATAGGTCACAACAACATGGTTCATCTTCGTCGTCATCGTCTGCAGCTTCTTCTTTGATTGTATTTCTTCTTGTGGTTACAGTAGCAAACTTAGCCAAGAATGGATCTATTTCGACTTCTTTACTACCTCTTCGTTTCTTCTTGGGTGCAACCTCTTTTGCCACGGTCTAAATATATGAAGATACAAGAATAATTCAAAAACTGGCTTGGCAATGAAATCTATAACCACTCTGTGACCAAATTGCAGAATACAGGTTGTCCTATTTGTTATTGTTGAGACTAATTAGCTTTTTCAAAATACGGGAGCGATTATCTAACCAAACAACTAATCAGAACAATGTGTATATTCTGAAACTATGTTCTGCAACAAGCAAGTTTTGTCATGTTAAGATCTTAAACTAAAAATTTCAAGATTGATATTGCCCATCAAATGGTAGTAGTCTAGTATTTTAATCTTAATTTGAGACTGTTCGTGTGTATCCTATATGACCATTCAGACACAGACACAATGCCTTTATTAGTTAATAAATCACCTGACCATTAGAGAAAACTTCTGTATTACTTTATGAGTTAATCCGAAAGTGACACTTGTAACAAGAATTTTGATGTACCAATTCCTGATCCGAGACAAATTATGAAAGAGTTTTATTCACACAAACAAAAACGACACAGTTACGACAGCCGCAATTTGAAATAATCATGTTTATACATGTAGTGAGGCAGACTGCGAGTCTGCACATATTTTAAGTTTCATAAGTAAAAAACTGTTCCAAACAAAAAAACAGACAATTTAAAGGATAGATCCTTTTCATTCATTCTTGTACAACCTTTTACCTAGAACTAATACATTAAATATTGATGAAATACAATTATTATTTTCTAATTCATTTCATAATTTAATGAAAGGCTTAACCCTTACAAAGAAAGACTCTTAAGGTACCTGCAATTTATTCAACAAAATGCAAGATATGGCCATCCCTACCTTACTTTAAACTAGCCGGCACCGTAATCTTGAATACATTTCAGCAGGCTACAGACTGTCGTAGCAATAGTCAACAACATTAACAACAACAAAAATCGATACCTTATCAATAGCAGCTCCCCATTTCATAGCGACCATGGGTTTAGGCTTGGCAGCCAAAGAAGACGCTGGTGTCTTCGAATCATCTGGTTTAGACTTGGCAGCCAAAGCAGGAGCGGGTGTCTTCGAATCATCTGGTTTAGGTTTTGCAGCCAAAGCAGGAGCTGGTGTCTTCGAATCATCTGCTTTAGGTTTGGCAGCTGAAGTGGGGACTGGTGTCTTCGGGTCGTCTGGTTTAGACTTGGCTGCTGAAGCAGGAGCTTGTGTTTTGGAATCATCTGGTTTGAGTCCAGCTTTTACCGCTGCTGCTGGCTTCGGACTAGGTGGTGACGATGCTTCTGGAACTGGTAGCACTGCATTGGATTTTGGATTTGTTTTGGAGGATTCTTTATGATTATCTTGCTCTCCTGCTTTAGTACTTTGGTCAGTTTTGGGAAGCACAGGCGGCTTTTCATTTTCAGTATTGCTCATATTCGTCTAGGATACATACATTGCGTATACAATGCGTAAATATTTACACTAAATATTCTATTGAAGTTAAAAAATAGAAAAATACGTCCATCTTCATTACGTCACTTTGACTGACGTCAATACATTGACGTCATTTCCGTTATGATGAAGGACACGGGTGTCCGTATTTACATCAGTGTCTAGTAGCTTGTCTTTTTCTTAATATATTTAAATGTTAATCTTTACCTGGTTGTTATTCATACTTATGTCAACGTTTCATAATTGTATTATCTATACGTATCTTATAATTTGATTATTGTAATTGATAGTTTCTGACGGAATTTTTATAAAATGCTCAAAACATTTTTTCTCCGTCTACGTGTACAGTCAAGTAACCTAATTTCGTGGAAACCTGTTATTCGTGGATTTCCGGAAAGAATTAATAATTTACATGAGCGACCTTGCGCGACCTCCGCATTAGTTTGTTTTGATAAACATGGGTTTTCTGTACAATGTCAACTAGTAGAATGAATCCAGTAGTTTCAAGCAAGGTAAAATGTATTAATGTATACTTTGACAAATACAAAATGGCGGATTTCACTTATTACCAAACGTCACCATTTTTCATCGGCCGAATTTCCTTATAATCCCAAGCGGTAATCGGAATTCCAAGTGTCGTCTGCTAGAATATATTCCAACGAATGAAGTCACGTGATCAACTAGCGGATTCCGTGTGAGCAGAAAATTTCTATGGAACACAAAGTGGACCATATTCTTATATTGTTTCAGTGACTTTTAGCAATAAATCACGCTACGTATCATATTTTGTCAGTCACTATTTTTTTTTTAAATCGTGGTTCTTTGAAGGAATTGTCACTAGTTATAATAAATTAATATTAAAGATAAATACTAAGAGAAGTTAATTATACCACCTGGTATCCATACAACGTGTTTTTCTAGACTTATTTATAGATCAAACAATGTACACGAAAATAGGTGACGCATTCTGCCGCCGTTGCCGAGTTGGTTGCTCATGAAATATGGGTCAAAGTGAAGGATTCATAAAGAAAATCGAAATAAACCAATTTTAATTATTTTGTAGAATATCTGAGGAAACATCTAAGACATAATTTTTTTTTTTTCGTTTTTATAACTTTGACGAAATTCGGTGTTGAATCCTTATATCCACGAAAATAGGTTACACCTCTGTATAAGTTTTTTTTTCTCGGTTTCGTCTACTTTTTTCATTAGGAATTTTTAGATGTCCTTTGTGTATTTCTATAAACTTGCGAAAACAATGCTTCGCATGCCAGACGAACGCTTTTTACAATATTTTAATGAAAAAGCAAGGAAAAACGCACAAAAATTCAGTTGTTTAATACTAGAAGAGCAAACATTATAGACTAGAATTAAACAAGACATTAATTAAGTCCGAGAGAGAAAAGGAAATTGGCGTTCGCCTGTGGATATGTGGTAAGGGAGATAACTCACTCGGTGGTTTCCACGTACGCTAAGCAAGATGGCGACCAAAGTAAACATGAGCAAGTTCTTGTGTGATAATTGTCAAAAGTCACTGGATAAAATGAAAAGATGTACTCGTTGCAGACTTGTTTACTACTGGTAACTATTATAGTTGGTTCAGTCTGAATTTGACCATGTTTAAGTTAACAGCATCATTAAAAATTTGCATAACTTTCTCAGAAAACATTTGTTCATTAATCATAATATTATTATGATATATTAGATGTAGCCTATTGTCTGACCAAAGTAAAAAGTTTTTTAAAAATTTTCCCATTATTCTTATGAGAATTGGAATAACTGCCTTAAGATAGTAATGTTAGTCTTAGAATGTCCTTTCGTTGATAAGAATATGAGCAAAAGCACACATTATAACTTCAAACTTTGTTTTTACAAAGCCAAAGGATAATTTTCAGCCAAAATTTCTGTCTTTTAGGGGTTGGAATTTCTAGGAGAGATTCTTTTTCATGTAAGCTTACAATATTATTAGATTTTGATTTTATCAACACAAAGACATTCTAAGACTATCAGTGCTATTTTGAGGCTGGTAAAACAATTCTCTTAAAAAATATTGAAAAAATTAATGTCTTTGAAATTTTTTTCAATTTTTAAATAATGTCAAATTAATGGGTTTCCACATTTTTAGTATGCAAATATAACCAAGGTCCAACTATTTTTCGTCTATTTTTCCAGCTCTCAAGAATGTCAAATTAATGACTGGTCAAAACACAAAGAAAATTGTCAAAGTGTCAAGAATTTGGAAAATAAAGAAACAAACTCTTATAATGAATCAGAATTTGGTGGAAATGCAGATGCAACAACATCTTTAGAAGCAACAATAAAATCATGTGAAAGTGACTGTAGTGGAATAAAATACTCAAGAATTAATTTTGAAAAAGCTGCCAATGATTTAAAATCCGAACCTACAGTTGAATCTTTTCTAGAAAAAATACCATCCTCAAATGACGAAAATCATAAGTTTTATTATTTAAACAATCAGTCATTTTATGATGTTCCAATGTTTAAAAGTGATTTACCATACAACAAGGTAACAGTTAAAAGTGATAAAATAAAAAGAAAATTTGACATAAATTTGATCTGGACTGGTGAAGAAATTTATAAATTTTTGTCCAGTGAGTTAGAAATTCCTTTAGAAAAGTTAAAAATTATAAATAAAGGAAAAGTTTTGACGAAAGAGACAATTAGTGACTGCGTGGCTGCTCTGAAGCCAGTTTTTCAAATTCTAGGTGAGAAAAGTGAAAATGAAGAGGGACTTGATAAAAATGACATTGACGTGATGATGAAACAGTTAGGTATTGAAAGAAATAGTGCAGTGAAGACATTACGGCAGAAAGGAGATTTAATTGATGCAATAATTGAAGCTGGCAATAAAAAATGATGGGGAAAAAAGATAGTTGTAGTTTTTGTGGTAATTGCAGCTTTCCTATTATCATCTACTGATATGGCTGACAAAAGCTCCTCCGGAAAAGGTCTTGCTGTAATTTTGAACCCAGACAAAATCCCCTTTGGAACAAAGCAAGATTGTACATAAGCCCCCTATGCAACCATGCACTTCTGCTTATGCTATATTAAAGCCATTATGATAAAGCTCCTTATAAGGGGTCACAGTCTTTCACTTTATCCAAAAAGCTTCCTGGAAAATACTTATTTTAACTAATCCTTATCAGAGCAAAATGTTGTAATATTGTTGGTAAATAGGTTATATATAGTTATGTCAGACAAACCCATTGATTGAGCTAAGCAACACTAACTAACAATGTAAAAGGTATATTAACTGTCATATGGGAATGGTTTAGCTGATCAGTAATTGGTGATAACAGATTACTGCCCAGATTTGAGCTTTTTTCATCTGTAATTAACTATGTTTGAAAGTTGCATTGAGAACTCCCCATTTCTTTTCACTTCTTCATGCTGAGAGATCACATCACATTGAGTCTTTGTAAGACCGTTTCAACAAGAGCATGCACATAATGTATTCTTTCAGACTATATGTAGTCACAGTCCCATCCTATAATGTTTTTAGGACAGCATCCTTGACTCTCATGCAAGCAAAAGGGCGTCTTGGGCTGTAAACATATCTATTAAAGATATTAGAAAATTTCAGGCTTGTAAAATATCCATCGAAGGCTAAAAGTCAACAGATATGAGAAATTCTGACTCAGATTACTTATGATGATGACAGCTTAGTCTAACCCAATGGCAGTGGAATAGCTCAGTTTGTAGCAAGTTGGCTTGATGCCTGCTGAGAGATTAGGTGTGGTGGGTTTGAATCCTCCTCAAAGTAAGGAAACTTTGATGCCTGTGCCAGTGTTTTTGAGAGTCTGCTTTCTCCCCCTGATATCCCTAAAACAAAAAACAGTTTCTAGACAACAAATAACTTTTTTCTCTAATATTACACAGTAACAATATGATGATTGTGTGTATATAAGCAAATGACATGATCAGAAAATAGGATGTGCATTCAGGATGCGAGAGTGACTCATACAATAAAACTTTGTAAACTTCAAGATTTGTCAAGTCATGTCATCTTCAAGAATAATACTATGTGAATACCACTAAATATCTCTTTCCAACAATATTTAGACTGTGAAGGTGTTTACTTCATTTTAAAGTGTAATAGTGAGAACATGGTTCCTGATGTTAATGATATGAAATATCCTTTGAGTGTGCATTTATATATCATAACTAGTACCTGTAGGAAACTAGTCAGACCTGAACTGTTCTATCATGCTGACCATAAATTCTTTACAAATTCCAGGAGAAGCCAAAACTGTCGACTTTAATTTCCACGCAATATAAATTATCAGTGACTCTATGCTTCCTTCAAATGTACTGTTTGTGTTTCTTGATTATTTTTTGAATAATCCCTGGATAAGTCAAGTATCTTTGCTTAGCATGTAATAAGCAATTCATCTTATGCCATGTGTAGATTGCAGCATTTGGTACCCTGTTTTTCAAGAACTAAACTATGGCACAAAATGAATTTTGAAATTTTAAGACTTAGTTTCAAGAAAGATAGCTCAAAGTTAGTTGTTATACAGAGTTTCACGCTATGCAATCTTCAGACAACTGACTAATTTCAGTCTGTTTGATAAGTACATCTTGTAGCAGATCATTAGTCATTGTCAGAAGTAATATGTAACATTATTATTCATCAGTCAGACATGATTTACATGAGAAGAAATATGTATTTATTCAGTTTGTTTATCATCAGTTGATTCTTCACCATCTTTATCCCTTTTTTTACTCCGACTACTTTTCTTATGTTTAGAAGAAGAATGGTGGTCATCACTGTCTTTTTCTTCCTTAAATCTTCTGAAAAATATACATTAATTTGATTAAAATCTGTACTTTACTTGGTTTAAAAATATATTGTTCTTATTTAAAATCTGACTTTGTTCAAAATCAAATTTAAACCTAAAATTTGAGCTTGTTCAATTCTAAAATCTAAGTTTGTTCAATTCTAAAATCTAAGTTTGTTCAAATCTAAAATCTAAGTTTGTTCAAATCTAAAATTTGAGTTGTTCAAATCTAAAATTTGAGTTGTTCAAATCTAAAATTTGAGTTGTTCAAATCTAAAATTTGAGTTGTTCAAATCTGTAACTTGATTTTGTATAAATCTGTAACTTGATTTTGTTTAAATCTGTAACTTGATTTTGTATAAATCTGTAATTTGATTTCGTATTTAAATCTGTAATTTGATTTTGTATTTAAATCTGTAACTTGATTTTGTTCAAATCTGTAACTTGATTTTGTTCAAATCTGTAACTTGATTTTGTTCAAATCTTGCAGGTGATTTAGTTTGAAAAGAATCAAGGTTGTATTTATATCAAAATAATGATAAGACATATAAATCATAAAATTCAGGGATAAATATTATTAAGTTTTTCTTACCTTTTTTTATGTTTAGAATCATCTTTATGTCTTCTCTCTCTAGAACTGTCTCTGTCCCTGTCTCGTGATCTATCTCTGTCTCTATCACGATCTCGTCTATCTCTGTCTCTATCACTTCTACTATCACGATCTCTATCTCGGTCCCTATCACGATCTCTTTCTCTATAGTATGAACTACTGAAAAAAAATACGTAATACAACCATTAATCTTAGTCATCAATATTTTTGATTCAACAACAAGAATTGTTTCTTAATAACTTTTTTCAGCCTTACATTAAGTGTTGTAATGTTGTAACCACCATTATTCAAAACATTTGTTCACAAGGATGAAATAAGCTCTAATCAATTTAAAAAATATAAAAGGAACCTACCTTCTATCCCTTTCCCTGTCTCTATGACTGAAAAAGATACAAAAAAATAGATATTAACTGTGCAGGCAATATAGGAGTTTTCTTTCATATTTAAACGGACAGGTTGGTCATTCCTTTCACCAATCATACTTAAGTCTCAGAAACGTGAATCTTTTTTATCTAAGCCAGTTCAAAGCAAATTTGCAATTTTCGTACATTTCTAATACTTCTGAAGACTATTTACATAAATTCAATATATAAATCAACCCGCTAAAATGGCGAACCTGTCCCTTTAAGGTGTCTCACCATGTGAAATTGTTTATCACTGTTATCAGGTTTTTATCAGCAATTTGGTGTTTTATAATATCATAAAATTCAACTTTTCTCAATTTTGTGAAGGTTTGACCTGGTTATTGTAAGGAGATACTTTCTTTAGTCTGACCAATTTATCAATAATTAGTTTTGTACATTTTTCTATATCAAAGAATACACACAGCTGTAAATTCCAAAACTTTATGAATAATCTGGGCCAATATATGGTGAAAACTGAAATTTTTTTTTTCTACATATCTGGGTATTTCTTTCATTTTGGTTGAGCATAAAAATAGTAAATGGACTATACATACCTAGACATAGAATATTCATCATCTGATACAGGTGATCTATCTCTTCTACTACTACTATATTCACCATAACCTCCACCATACGAACCTCTATAAATTAAAAACAATATTTCTAAAAGAGGGTAATCCTCATAAATGTCTAAATGGCGATACTTTCCTCTAGAGCTGCAACATCCTCTTTTTCAACAACAAGCTGGATTGATGTCTGCGAGGCAATTGGGTGCTATGGGTTCAAATCCTCCTCAAGGTGAGAAAGTTCTGATGTCCCAGCCAGTAATTCATAGAGTTTGGTTTTGGTTTTTACCTTCTCATATCTAAATACTGTTTAAAGGGACAGGTAGGCCATTTTTTTTCACCAATCAATAATTCTGGACACACATGGATTTGAAGACTTAAATTTTTAGCTGAGCTAAATTTGGGTCTTCAAATCCATGTGCGTCCAGAATTATCCACCATGTTAAAATGACGACTTGCGAATTTAAGATACTCTATGATATATAGAAAAGACATATATAGGAAAAGTTAGTAAAATTCTTAGTTTGAAGTATTTTTAAAGGAAATATGTGATTTTCACACACGTTTAGTCTATTTACATAAATTCAAGATTAAAATCAACCCCCCAAAAGGGCGCACCTGTCCCTTTTACTTCACATGAATTAAATTCTACCAACTGTTAAACGTGAAAAAGGCTTTTGTTAGTTATTTGGGGAGGAGATAGAAAAAGAAACCAGAACAAAGATGAAGGGAATATGATATAATAGGAATAATAACAGGAATTCATTATTGGAATTAAGAATATGTTATTGAACACCAAAAAATTGTTCTATAACATTCAGATATTTCAAAATATAACAAGTAAATAACCAGATAAAAAGAGTTTAGATGCAATGAAATCCCCACCAAAAAAAATTCTACTCATTTTGAGTACTGTAGTAAGAGTACATACTTCTGCATTCTTTAGAGGAATACTAGCCTATCATACCACGATAAATATTTCACTAAAACTATCATCAAGACTCATCCAGTGTTTTCGAGAATCTGCCCTATTACCAAGACAATGCACACTACTCTCTGCCAAAGTGGAAATGTATTAAATAAAAACCAACTAATTTGAATAAAGACTTAATACTTGTACCTCCTTTCAGATTTTCTATAATAAAGACAGTAAAAGTGAATGAAAAAATATAGTAGTCATTGGATTTCAGATTCAAATTTAGTAATCTGACAACATTCTTAAGAATAAAAAGTTCACTGTGACAGAAATGAACCACTGATTCAAATACCTTTTTCAGTAATCTTGTTTAATCTTTTTACTATTTCAACTTTAGAATTTGTCAGTTTAAAAAAAAAGAAGAAAAGGAGTTTGTTTCTTCTTTTGCAAAAAGATCGTTTAGTCCGACATCTTTAACATGCTGGCTTGCTTATAATAAGTACAAACTGAATAATAAGAGAACTATAAGGGAAGGCAGACATCACAAAATGAGGAAATAACAATTATTGAGAGGCTATCGTTTTAATGTTGCTTTATATAAAACCTTTCAACCTGCTAGATTCATGTTAAAACTGGCATATCAACATTTTCATCTCTTAATTCATAGATTTTTTCCAAACTAAAGAAGATATTTGAACTAGACAATGAAGAGACAACACAAACAAAGACAAAGGTATCTATTACCATGAAACCATCTGCCCTGTAGATTGAACATGTTTAATACCTTTTGGATTTACGTCTAAATAATAAATGGAAGTTAGTAAGCTTTGTTACAACAGACTGTATTAAGAGTTTAAATCCAGTCTAATAAAAACTACATCAATCTTGATGTTCATCAGTTTGATGATACTAGCAGCCAAAAGAGCCAATCTATTTTCTACCTCTCCAACATTTTGATTTTGTAATGTGAACACCAGTCTGTATACCAGTCTAATCCAATTCAAGCATTGGAGGGAGAAGAAATCTGATTGGGTTTCGGTGGCATCAAACTGATGAATGTTCAAGAAGGTCGTCTTTAGACTCTAAAAGAAGTATTGGTATGATTGTCTTAGGACAAAACTCAATACTTATACAGACTGGAAATAAAAACAAACATAATCAGAGGTAATGGCAAGATAAACAAAAGATTAACATCTAAACTAAAAATTAGCACATCCCTGAAATTTTTATATTAAAGATGGGTTTCCTTATTTTTTAGAGTCAAATTAAGCAAACTATTTGATCAATTGGTGTTTCTAATGAATTATCATGTATTCTTTATTATATCATTATGTTTTTTTTTCATATAATTAAGAGATTTAACCAATTATAAATGTCCATGTATGTACAGACTGGATAAACACAAAAATACTTCCTTGGTTGGTCACTAATTGGAATTCTGCTAGAAATTCTCTTCAAATTTAGCTAATTATGAATTAATTATGGACATGTGAGACAAACTGGTATTTTTCCATGTCATTAGAACACCTCTACTTTCTATTCATATAAGTATTAGCATTTTCATTTTCATTAATAAAAATGAGGGAACCCATCTTTAAAACTGTAAATTAGGAATTGTTAGTTCAGGGATTTTCAACCATTTCCTTTCAATCAACCCTTTCAGGATTCTTGATTGACTGCATAACCTAATCCCCCTATAAATCCTTATTTATTGTGGTTTTCTCTTACGCTTTTCCTGCAATATTTTTCATATCCAAGAAAATATCCTAACTGAATAGAAGGACTTAAATCATAAATTTCCAGAATTTTTATGCTTGATTACAAAGCACCCTGTTAATCCCCAAAAAAATTGAAAATTACTGTCAGGTTGAAAACACCTGTTTTAGATGATCAAGATAAGCTATAGCTACAGTTCACTCTGCGAGTACCAGAAGCATGATAAATCTGGCAGTAAATTGATATAAATTGAATACATACCGACTATCCCAAGCTGGAGGAGCACCACTATAATTATAAGTACCAGTAGCTGGATCATAGGTATAATTTCTTTCTTCATATCTATATAGTAAATATATAACAATAATAACAAATTTTATTGTTTAAATAGTTTTCAATACATCCATTGTAGAATGATAGAAAAATATTAACAGAATCTTAGACATGATGTTACTCAGAGATTTATGTTGTTGTCTTTAGGGGACCTATCAATTAATTAAAATTAATTCTTGTTCTTGTATATACACTTCATTTGCTTAGTGTGTACAATCAAGTAGGTTACTATTTTCCACGAAAAGTCTTATTTTTGAAATTTTCAAAAAGTTTGAAAATAGATGAACTGGCTCATACAATTTTCACCTTATTTCAGTGTTAAAAATGTAATCTTAATCAACCTCTCAGGAATGGTCAATTATTCAATTCAAACCATTATAAAAAATTCTGAGAGAAAACAAATCATATTCTGATTAATTAGAACTGAATTGATACCACTATCAGTATAAAAGTATAGACAAAATATCAACTTACGCTTCACTGGTTGGTATTGTACCAGGCGGAGGATAGAAACCTATAAGGTAATGATAGTGAAAGTTTAAGTGTGTAAAACATATTTGAGAAGGTGTTCTAGAACATGTACCAAGTTGCAACTGTCTCGATTGTCAATATTGTAGCACTTGCCAATCAGATTTCTTAAAATATTCCCTTCTGCATTAACATGATCACATGATAATCTATTAAACTAATGAGTCTTACCTGGGGGTGGATAATTTGGTGGAGGAAGACTCACATTTGGTGTAACCCCTATAAATAGAATCCTGATCTTATATTTCTTTTCATATACTTTGAGAAAATTAATTGAAATAAAAAGAGTTTTATGTCCTATACTCTTTCAATGTCAGCCCCTCTGGCCTGCATCACTCAAAGAGTTGCAAAAATCTGAAGGATTGAACTCTGGACATTCAGGTTAGTGAGCAAGCCTCTAACTCACTAATATAGCATGAATCAGAATTATACTGACATGACATAATATGCAACACCAAGGTTAATAGTGCGGTTGTATTTGATAACTAGGAACTACATAAAATGTCCAACAGTGGTTTTATTTTTTGTGGCCTTTTTTTTATTGAAATAGATCAGTTTTCACAAATTCATAAGGGAAAGTAACAATAATTCTGTTTCTGACTATGTAAAGTATAAGACAGCAACCCATTAATATTGCCTTCTGCAGACTTAGTCACTAGATAAAAGTGTGGCGCAAATGAAGTACTGGTTGTTGAAGATTTACATAAAATTTATATAACTCTTCTATAATTTGAAGGAAAGCCAAATGGAGGGAGGTCACTTAAAACTACATACCAGGTGGTAATAAAGTAGGAGGAACACCTAATCCAGGTGGTGGTACACTATAATCTGGTATAGCAGGTGCCATACCAGGTGGTGGTACTGCAGGATTACTGAAAAGAAAACAGTAAAAAAATGAAATAACAGAGTTTAGGTCTCACTTTTATGCACCTCTTTTGACCCATTTGAACAAAACCTCCTTCTTCTTAAGTCTCATAAGATTGAGAGTAAGCAGATGGAACTGAACTATTACCATGGCATAACCTATTTTGTTGGCTTTCATACACAGGCCTAACTCTTAATGACCATTTGAAATTTGAAGATTATTTATTATATGATGGGTATATTTTTGATTTTTGATTTTTAATAATGTCATTTTAAAGAGGAAGATCAAAATTCAGATCTAGACATTTTATCAAGCCTTGTCTCAGTGCATTCAACTACTCAATCTAGCAACAAACAATCAACAAAATCTACTTTTTCAAGATGGAAAACAAAGACATTAAGTCATGTCATACTTACTATTCTGTTGCACCTCCAGTGACTGTTATAGTACTAATGGCACTACCAGTCTCAGTAGGTCTGCGAGTATTGGTAGCTGTTGAACCAATAACATCAATAGTACCATAATATCTACGGTTAGGGGGTGGGGCTGCTTTACGCCCTATCAATGTAGCAACTTGGGATGCTGAAAAAACATTAAATAATGAATGTTGACAAAGAGCACTAGCAAGAAGCTGGCAATTCTTCTCAAATACTAGGTCTCATGTTGTAGACAAATAGCATACACAAGTAATGCAAATAAATATGCATCCATGTAGTGTACAATGAGGGAAATATTGATAATAGTGCCACATTCTTTTTAATTTGAACCATCTCATTGGAATTAAGGGGTCGAAAACTTAGTAAATCTCTTTGCTACTTCAAAAAATAGTTATTTCTGATAAAAGTAAATAAATATCAAGACTAATGACTTACTATGAGATGAGGTATTACTCATATCCTTCTTAATTGAAGAACCAGACTAAAATAGACAAAAACATTCCATTAATATCAATTTGATCAGAGTAATACTTTCTTTTGTGGTTTAGAATCCAACCCACTTTTCTATTCGATCAGCATTCAACTAAATGGCTCATTTAATGGTTAAGAATTTCACAATCACGTGACATTTTGACTGACAACAAGGGTTAGATATCAAGTAAAATGCTCTATCTTATTGAAATACTCAGCTACAATTGCAGAGCTTATTGGTTAAAACATTTCAAAAGAATAAAAAAGATAAATCTTATCTAAATAAAGGTATTTAATGAAACACAGCTTCCTTTTATAATATTAAGGCCAGAATTTTAAATTTTTGAATAGCTTACCAAACTACTATATGAAGCACCATTTTCAGCACGTAACTTCTTCTGTTTATCACAATATACTGTCCATGATTCTTCATCAAAACCATAGTTAAAATAGTCTGTTATATCAGCACCTAATATCAACAATTATTTTAGAACAACATGGCGTATGAATAACTCCATGCAGTGTGTAATAATATAAATTTTGCTTCTTTTTTCAATTTTCAATTTTCAATATTCAATTATTGAAGGTAGTAAACAGCTTGTAGCATATATTTAAATTCATTTTTATCTTTATCAAAATGTCGAGTAAACCTTTTACATTCTGTATAACGGGAAACTAGATTAAAAAAATAAAAAGGTATTATCTAGACCTATGTAGGTATTGAAATCTGGACCTTCAGGTCAGCTAGTGTCTAACTCAATAAGGCACTAAATAATTATGTAGAGAAATCTAACTGGATAGTAATAGAGCTTTTCTATATAAGGCAGTGTCTCAAGAAAAGATGGCTTGTCTTTTTAACTTTCAGCTGCGGATAATTCTGGACACACAAGGCTGAAATTTCACCGGTGAGATGTGAACACTATTACTGATTGGCTTAGCTAAAAAAAGCAAAACTAGATCTTACCAGGTTTTCTCCAAGGTTTGTCTTCAATACTAGTGATATCAAATTCATAAGTAGGTACACCATTGATAGTACCCTGTTGTTCAATATCTACACCTTTAGTTGCCCCTCCTGTCTTTGACACCACAACTACAATAGAATAACATTCAAATATTAAAGTTCTCTTAATGAAGGTGATCTCTTAGTAGAGTATTGGGTCAGAATAATCACTAACATAGATTCTAAAATAATTTTTTTTTATTCACTCAGATGAACTTCCCTCTACTCTTTTTTAGACTAATAGAATTAATTAACAAGACAGCTTAAATTGAATTAATTGTTGATGATTAACAAATGTCCATTAAACTATAATCCCTTTAAAACCCATCTGCATATGAAACCTTGTGATGTTTATACAATGCAGATAATGTTATGGTTGCTTTTTGATTTCATGGGAATTTAAAAACATGGTCGCTTATCAGTCGTTAATGATATTGAAAAGTTGTAGGGGGCACTTTATTGTGGTGGAATATTGAAGATGATTTATTATTAAAGGCAGTCATATGAGCAGGTTTCCCTGTACTTACCTCCTGCTGGTTTTTGATATGTTCCACTTCCTTTAAATAATTTGTTACCGCCACTGTAATGAAAGGAAATTGAATTCTATCTTATTGGAAAATGATGATGAGAAAAGTAATTATATGTCCCATTCAATATTCAGTTGAGGCTAGACAACTTGTCTTAAAATCTAAACCATCTCCATAACAGATTCAACAAGATTTATAAAAAATGCTATTATAACTGATCACTGAAAAATCATCATCGATCAAAGGCGGATAATTTCTTATCAGGTTGATGGAGGACAGGTATCTGAATAGATTAATACTAACTCAGTCGCACTCCACTGTCTAATATCACCTATAGTGACCTGAACATCATCGTCATCATCATCATCATCGTCATCTGAGTCAGCTGTATCTTTCTTTTCTTGACCTTCTTCTTCACCACTCTATTTAATACCACAAAAATAAATTGTTAATAAATAAGTACATCTGAAGATGGTTTTAAAGATAAATAAGGACACGATAAAAATTGCTGCCTTGACGTCTTTAAAGCCATCTTCTCCAATCCCTCTTACACATCATACTTACTTACTAATCATATTTTACATCATTAAATTTGGAATTGATTAAGCTATTTAATGAAACTTTCAAATGAATTTTATCTTCACACATTTCTGAGAAATGGCAGTTTTCAACCCATATTCTTACTGTTTAGTGAGTGTTTAATGACGTCAAATAGGCTATTCATTCATATGACGTTGCCATTTTATCAATGAATGACATAATTTGTGTAAATAGGTACTATATATTTTTCTGTCTTTAGATAATCTAGTCATGCATAAAATCAATAGAACATGACAACCACGGACATAGATAACTATCGTTTTAGAGGTGTGGTTTAAACCCAACTACTTTTCTCAACTAGAAACACACCCCGTTACCATGTAACTGCATGGAAAGTTTTTCAGATTCCTATCCTTGTCGAATATTCAATCTATAAGAAATGTAAAGAGTCATGTAGAAATGATAATGAAATTCTTGTTTCCTATTACTTACCAGCTGACCCTCTTCCATGTCATCTTTTTTTCGTTTACCATTTGTAGTTGATCTGAAAATATTAACAAAAATATCAGACTAACTTGTTTACTTCAATTGTTAATTCAACTCAATGATATCAATTTCAAATATTTGAATTTTTTTATAAACTAAAAAATGTTGTTTTACTTTCCTTGTTCATTTTTATCCAAACTTTAAGGCTACCATATGATCACTGAACTGCCACCTTAGTTTTGTCTGTGTATCCAATGAAATATACGATAATATACAATGGTTTGCATTGTCATCAACTCTAAGACTCTCAGCAGTATGTTGGAGTTGATACATCAATTCATAAAGCATAATTGGTAGTTTTATTATCTAAGTAAAGTAAAAAGTTCTTTAAAATTTTCTAGAGGAACATCTTGTGAGCTTATAGTGTTAAATTGTGCAATTTTGTCTCCAAGGTGAAATTGAAATATTAGTGCACATTGATTTTTTCGTCTGTGAAGCATTTGATCACAAAAATTCATAAAACTTTTTACTTTGCTTGGACAATAATTTGAAATAACATAATCTTACTTGATTTTTGCATTTTCCTTGCCTGAATTATCATCTATAAGAAAAAAAAAAAAAAAAAACATTTTAAACTGTACAAAAAAGTAGAGATTTAAATGTTCAAGTTCATATGAATATCAAGTCTTACAATTTTTAGCCTTGTGTAGTGCAGTTGATACTAACTGTCTCTGCAGTGTCTGCATACTCTTCGGTAAAATTAATTTAACCTTTAATGCAGCCAGATACAATGTTTATCCATAATTTAGGATACCAGACATGTATACACATATGTAAAAGTTATCCAAATGCATGGAAATGTTCAATTCGTGGCTGTACATTTGGCAACAGGAAACCTATCAACTAAAAATTACTGATCTGAAGATATACAGCAGTAAGAAAGCCCTTTTTTATATTGTAATACAGTCGAGTAACCTAATTTCGTGGAAACCTATTATTCGTGGAATTCCGGAAATATTTAATAATTTACATGAGCGACCTTGCCCGACCTCCGCATTAGTTTGTTTTGATAAACATGGGTTTTCTCTACAATATCAGCTGGTAGAATGAATCCAGTAGTTTCAAGCAAGGTAAATTATATTAATGTATACTTTGACAAATACAAAATGGCCGATTTCACTTATTACCAAACGTCACCATTTTTATCAGCCGAATTTCCTTATAATCCCAAGCGGTAATCGGAATTCCAAGTGTCGTCTGCTAGAATGTAGTCCAACAAATGAAGACACATGATCAACTAGCGGATTCCGTGTCAGCAGAAAATTTCTATGGAACACAAAGTGGACCATATTCTTATGTTGTTTCAGTGACTTTTAGCAATAAATCACACTACGTATCATATTTTGTCAGTCACTATTGTTTTTTTTCAAATCGCGGTTCTTTGAAGGAATTGTCACTAGTTATAATTAATTGATATTAAAGATAAATACTAAGAGAAGTTAATTATACCACCCGGCATCCATACAAAGTGTTTTTCTAGACTTATTTATAGATCAAACATTGTACACGAAAATAGGTGACGCATTCTGCCGCCGTTGCCGAGTTGGTTGCTCATGAAATATTGGTCAAAGTGAAAGATTAATAAAGAAAATCGAAACAAACCAATTTTTATTATTTTGTAGAATATCTGAGGCAACATCTAAAAAATTTTCGTTTTTTTAACTTTGACGAAATTCGGTGATGAATCCTTATATTCATGAAAATAGGTTACACCACTGTATGTATCAAATGCTGACATGATTTGCTTTACGTACACAGAATTGCATTTTTTGGGTTATGAGCTAATTAACTACTTGATAACTTTGACAGTGCACTCAACTTACTCGCAACATTCTCCGGGGAAAATTAAAATTGCCTTTTGGAACCCAGTCTGGCGGGGTATAAAGGTGAACATAATAAGGCACTTCGGGGAATTACAGACACCACAATTTTCTTTTTGTCTCGCCGGTACCTTAGTGAATTAATTGGAGAGTTGCGAACTCTGTTATGATCAGTACAAACGCTGAACAAAAAGCCCACTTTTTCATATTCAAGATATGTCTTTATCTATTAGATTTGTGAATGACAATTGAGATTTACCTCCATAAAGCCAAGCTTCGTCTTCATCAACTACGGCAGCTGCCATTTTGTTTTCTTTTTCTCAATTGCAATAAGTTTCGTAATTAAATTGACCTAGATTTGTAGTTCTATTTTATAAAAGGACTAAAACAATATTCTATTTATATCTATTAAAATTTTACTCTTCACATTTCCATTTATTCTGAATAGACCGTCTAACACATAAGTTAGTTTCGGATTAAATTCAAGATATCAGCCTCCATAATATAAATAATGTTTTATTTTGATGTTGATCTCTCGAAGGTCTGATAAACGTTTAAGTTTCATAAATCTTTTACCAGTGTCATTGAATTATTGATATCATTAAGTTTTCAATGACTGCAATAATGAAAATGAACTAGTCATTCTTAAGCTCGAAAGTTACATGGCAATAAACTTGACTTCGAGTTCGATCATTTCATGCATGCACTATCACTGTATCAGGCGTCACTGTCAGTTGCATTGTGCAAAGAGGGAAATCAACGGCCAGTCATATTGTTCAACTTTTGGTATCCCTATCCCTAAATTCATTATTTTTTTTTAGAAAATGGGTCCCACTTAAGATTATGTCATTAAATTAGACTGTTGAAAATATTCTAGCTGACAATGTGATGTTGCGAATATTGACAACAATCAATTACCGGTACCAGTCTTGAGAGTCATATACAGTCAAGTAACCTAATTTCGTGGAAACCTATTATTCGTGGATTTCCGGAAAGGATTAATAATTTACATGAGCGACCTTGCGCGACCTCCGCATTAGTTTGTTTTGATAAACATGGGTTTTCACTACAATATCAGCTAGTAGAATGAATCCAGTAGTTTCAAGCAAGGTAAAATGTATTAATGTACAGTGTACCTATTTTCGTGGATATAAGGATTCAACACCGAATTTCGTCAAAGTTAAAAAAACGAAAAAAAAAATTTATGTCTTAGATGTTTCCTCAGATATTCTACAAAATAATAGAAATTGGTTTATTTCGATTTTCTTAATGAATCCTTCACTTTAACCCATATTTCATGAGCAACCAACTCCGGAACGGCGGCAGAATGCATCACCTATTTTCGTGTACAATGTTTTATCTATAAATAAGTCTAGAAAAACACGTTGTATGGATACCGGGTGATATAATTAACTTCTCTTAGTATTTATCTTTAATATCAATTCATTATAACTAGTGACAATTCCTTCAAAGAACCACGATTTAAAAAAAAAATAGTGACTGACAAAATAAGATACGTAACGTGATTTATTGCTAAAAGTCACTGAAACAACATAAGAATATGGTCCACTTTGTGTTCCATAGAAATTTTCTGCTGACACGGAATCCGCTAGTTGATCACGTGACTTCATTCGTTGGACTACATTCTAGCAGACGACACTTGGAATTCCGATTACGGCTAGGGATTATAAGGAAATTTGGCCGATAAAAAATGGTGACGTTTGGTAATAACTGAAATCCGC